CATATATATGCATATATATGTATATATATATATATATATGTATATGTATTTTTGTATATTCATTCTCATATTCATGATAAAATATATCTTTCGAAAACAGCTCGAAAATAGAACAGCCATGGACGGAATTATGAATCGATTTTAGTAAAAAAGCAATTTCTTGAAGTGTGCATATCTAAGTCAAATGCTTCTCTTATAAACAGAAAGATAATTAGTCGATTTATTTTCTTTATTTTTATGGTTTCAATAAGATTGTATTTGGTTACAATAAAGACGTAAAGATCATCAACATCAACTTTTACAGTGACTAACGTGCATGAGCAGATAATTATTAAGTTCATACACACATTGGGCTGTTTATTTCATCTTCGCGTATAGATTAAATACTATCTGCAAAAGAAAAAAACACCCTGAATAATACATCAAAAATGTAATTAGAATGTTTAGATACTGTAGCTCATTTAAAGGGATCACATAAGTTTCAACCAGGAACAGATCAAAAAATAATAACTATCGTTTTTCTACAACAATCCTTAAATTTGATTACCAGCAAAATGTTGGGGTTTATGCAAATTAATACATTAATTAATACATTATATATTTAATAATATAATTTCATTTCATACGCATTTTTGATATTGTAAGTTAATAACTTACTTTAATTTACAAACCAGGTATTTCAAATTATAGAATCGAATTTTTTTCGAATGTTTTAGCTTATGACATACAGTACATCTTTGATTAAACTTAGTAAAATATAAAACGAATTTATACATTTATCATGTTTTATGGATTCGACATGACTTGAAATACAATCATGTAGAAAAAACATAATCAACCATAATACAACTTCCATTAGGGAGCTGGTAAGTAAACATTATAGGATAAAGATTCTGTATCGTGTCCTTCATGGTTTGCAGTATCATTCAAAATCCAACAAATCTACCTTTTACTCTATAAATGTAAATTATAAGGTAAATTAAAACACATTATAAGGGTTAATGATTGCAGGTGTTTCTTTTTTCTTTAATGGGTTTCAATGTAGAACGTCCTTCATTTTGTAGTACATTTTAAATATTTATTAATCAAGAATACAATGAATAACATATTATATATATAATTATATATATATATATATATATATATATATGTACATGTACTGTATATACACCAACCGATGTCAGTGCTAAATCATTCTGAATCGAAAATATAAAAATTATAAAAATATTTAACCGTCTTGCGGCGATGCTATAATATATCTAATATATAAATGATTTATACGTTAAATATATTTGTATATGTAAACAAATATCAAATATATAAAACATTTATAATTATAAATAAGATTTGAATAACTCTCATAACTATCTTAAAGAAATACTCAAAAAGAAAAAGGACAAATTCGCAAAACTAATGTCAGTTAATATCATAAAATACTAACCAGAAGCACCAGAATTACCATTCTGTTTACCACCACTTTGACGTCTCAGTGAGGGCTCGCTGGTTCTATTTATTTATCTATTTAGCCTGCTTAACAAGAAATCAAAAAGCTTGGATTTGAGAAAAACTAAAATTAGAAAATTTCAGATGGCAGCGCCGTACGTAATAAGACGCATCAAATTTTGATCTATGCACCATATTTTATTGCACGTTTTAATATGAGTCCATTTCAATTATTATATATAGGCCTAATCTAATCTTAATTAATATGTTCTCATTGGTAGCGGAGAGCCACTAGGCATGATTGAATTCATTCTTTGGCAATCGTGTCCTGCCAACTTAGTGTTATTTTTTGCTCTCTGTTATTTTGTGTTTGTCAATGTTAACGATTTTTTTGGTTTTTTTTTATTTTTTATTTTTTTTTGGACGAAATAAATGAAATATAATGATATTACAGCAGATGATGAATTAATGTATTTGTAAAAATACATTAATTCAGCATTTCAGCAAAAGACATTCAAATTCAATACAAAAAAATACAATAAAATTCATTACAAAAGTACATTAAAATCAATTACAAAAATACATTAAAATTCATTACAAAAATACATAAAATTCAATAAAAAAAAAAAAAAAAACCCAACCAAAAATCAGAATTTTTCAAGTTTCAAAAAATTTCAGAAGGTAGGGAAAGAAATACATTTGCAGAAGATGCTGAATAGAAGTATTTGTACAAAATTGAAATTTTCACAAAAAGAAATTAAAATCCAATACAAAAAATACGTTAAAATTCATTTTAAAATAATTAAGATTCATTACAATAATACATTAAAATTTAATACAAATAGACAAAAAATTCGATACAAAAAATGACCAAACACCAGATTTTTCAAGCATTTTCAGAAGATAGGAAATAGGAGTAATAATAATAATGATATGCTAATAATAAATATTAATAAATTTACATAGAAATACATATAGACATTTAATAAATATTAATATATATAACAAAAAAGTATGTATATAGGCCTAGTCCATAATTATAGGCAGTATGATGAATAAATGTTGTTTTGCTTTAAACTTGTCTTCTGACCTCCTGTAGTTGATTTCTGTCGTAATGGCTGGATAAGTCGCCAGGATGCATGCTACTTGTTTGAAACCTCTCACTCCGAGTGGAATGAGGCAGTTGCACATTGCAGGTTGCAGGACTCTGAGTTGATATCGTTGACCGATAAAGCGGAACAGCTGTTCGTTGAAGCTGTCATAAAGCGGGCGTGGATTGGCATGGTAAGACACCACACCTCAGAACTTCAACCGATAAATTCATTTCAATTTATTTCAATCATAAAATAGCAGTGAACGCGAAACTAATGTATCTTTTGGTACCGTATTTGCTTATTTACGCAGAACCCTCCTTCAACTGAACTGTGGACAGATAACATTAACGCCAACTATACCAATTGGCTAAGTGGTGAGCCCGATGGAAAAGGTACGACATTTAGTGGCTTATCAGGAACCTTTAAATGGGGGGGGGGTCTAATGGGGGCTATTGGGGGTGTCGATGATTAGGTAAGGGAAAGCTACCTCGCAAAATAAGGCAATTTTGCCTTAATGAACACCCCTATAGATACGCCACTGTGTATATTAATGACAATATTTTAATAACATTGATATTGATGATGGTGATCGACCATCATCGACGATTTAGTTAACTTTGGCTTCCTTAGTTTGTTGGGTAATAAATGGCTTTCTCATACTTAGAAAATTAACATTTTTCTATGAAAAAATCATATAGGCCTACACTCATTACTCCCTTTTTGCCAGTTGACTAACCGTGTAGTTCGGGGCGAATCATATTTCTTATTCTGTTTAATTGTGCGTTCTTCCTAAATTTTTGAGTAGGCCTATTTATGTACAGTACAGGCCATATGTGATGCAAATAAAAAAAGATCTTGTTCGGTGGGTGTAGACTGGTTGTCGAAGCTGACGATGAATACTAGCGCATTATATGCACATCGTCTTTACGACAAAATGTGAGAATGATAGTCCACTGTAGGCCTATCCAACAGGCCAGGTCTTCCCAAAGAGAAGATTCTGCCACTACTTGACCCCCAAAAGGTACACTACTTGATGGTGATGGTTATAATGGTCACGGTGATGGTGATGATGTCTGATGATAATGATGATTATGATGATGATCAGGGGTGGCGCCAGGATTTGCCCGACGGGGGTGGGGGAGAGGTCCCCGACGAGGGGTCAGATTTCCCCGACGAAAGCAAAGTGGACGTGATCGAGCTTCGATTAAAAGGCTCCGAAAATTTTGACAATTTAGAGGTTTCAAAGGCTTATTTATTCGATTTTATAGTCTACCAATATGTAGAAAATACATATAATTGTTTTTTCTCCCCGATGATGATTATGATGATGATGATGGCGATGACGATGCTGTTAATGATGACGTTGATTGTGTTTTTACAGGTTGTGGCAAAACGTGTCTGAATGCAAATTGTGTAACAGTACGAGACGATGGGCTATGGTCTGATCAACTATGTAATTCTTATTTTAGATGGCTATGCAAAAAAGAAGGTAACCTTTGAAATTATTGAATATTAATATTTACATACAATATCATAAATCAAATGGATCTATGACAACATAACACCTCTATAGTATAACTTCACCTAATGAAGTCCTAGTGCCTAATATTCGCCGTTCCCTGCCCCAAGACTAATATTCCAACTCGTAAATTCCATATATACTTAACTCATAGTAATTCCACTTTTTCTGTGTTTTAAATAGCATTTGATTTTGTCTTCTTTTGAATTTGTTCATTTTAAATTATAAATTTTATCAAGAATAAGAATATTAAGGCGTATTGTGCGCTATAGTTTAACCTATAAAATTTCCTTGAACCTTACATCCCTCTAAGTTATAATGTGCTGGACTATCAATTCCAAGATGGATGGTTCGATTCTGATACTAGCTTATATTATTTGGCATAATTTTAAAAGATACAATAATGTCCATTGGCGATATTTGCCCAAGAGATGCGGTAGTACAGTATAACCTGATCGATATTCAATTAATCAGACGTCAGCTCAATGATTTATGTGTTACGAACAAAACATCGGCTCTGGGAACGCATTCTATTACAAATAATATGTCATTACTTTGCTTTTCTTTACATTTTAACGATGCTCATTCAATCATAATTTAACGCATTTTCGATAGCTTTAGCAAAACTGTTATCAGAGATGTCACAAATTGAATATTGCGATAAAATTACTGCGCATATCGGTGCATAATCTGTTGTCATTTGGGTTCATTCGAAGGTCCCGATTGCGAATACGGTTGGCACAACTTCTCAGGGAAGTGTTATTACTATTCAACGAATGAATTAAAAACATGGGACGATGCGAATGATTGGTGTAGACAACATGCGTCGTCTCTTTCAAGTATTCTCGACCAATCAGAGCAAATGTTTATTAATGATCTAATTTATCGAAATGGTAAATATTGGATTGGATATTCTGACATGGTAAGTTTTTAATGTATGATATTCTTTACCACATTGCATTTCAAATTTTACTATATTATAATAGTTTGATTTCAATGATTTGATTTGAATGATATTTTATTATCATTATACAACACTTTAGTTTTACCCTATATTAATTATTGTAACATTGCATGGGCGACTACAGTTGATAAATTTTTATATTTATGCCCCTGGACAGGTACTGAGACCACCAATATTGACAATATCTGGGTCATTCCGTGCCAACTCAACAAATTTTCAGAAAATCATGGCTGGGTACCGTCTCAGATTTTCTTGAAACTACAAATACAATGTACTTAATGTCTTTGATCTTAACAAATTTCAATCCTACACATTCATGTATCGTTTTATAAATAATTTATTACCTAAACATATTTCTTTATTATTTCCAAAACAGCAGTCTGAAATATATAATTATCCCACTAGATTTGCAAAATGTAGTGTCTCATTGGAAAAAAATATATCTTCCCTTAGAAAAAAATCTATTTTTTACAATGGACCAAAATTATGGAATTCTTTAGATACTACTTTTAAGTCTTTACCAACTCTTTCTTCCTTCAAATCCAATATTAAAAAGGCTCTGGTCTCGGTGTATGGCAAGTAAGTCATCTGCTCTGTTCCATCTCTCTTCATTTTGTACTGCATAATTTAGTATACAGTGAAACTTGCCCAAGTCTAAGTCTTCTTCTTCCTTCTTCCTTCTTCCTTCCTTCCTTCCTTCCTTCCTTCCTTCCTTCCTTCCTTCCTTCCTTCCTTCCTCCTCTCCTCTC